GCTGGAATATCGTCCCCTGAGGATTACTTGACCCTAAACACGAATATCACTCGGTGGAATGGGGTTATGATGCGTAGTGCCGGCCCATTTGGCGCAGCGCATCTTCAGGAAGAATCGGTGAGAAACACCCCCATGAATCCCGGTCAGAGCATCGTATAGCTGATTTCGAGGGTAGTTTTCAGTTCGTTCGTCCCAAGATGTGTACAAAGGTGTGCACCACTGTGCAAATGGCCGTACCGCCCTGTTGAGCTTCCTTGGTAAGAAAGTACGATACCTACAATATGTATAAGCGATTACAGTGGAAAAAAATATGTAAACAATAGTTTACTCACCAAGAATGATTTTAAATCGCCAGAGCTGTGATATGAAGGATGCGATGACCCCAAGTCCGGGTAAATAGACGAACCAAACAAGAAAACCCGCTCCAATATGGGCAACGAATGCAGCTCTTTCTTCACTTTGCTCTCTACATATGAGAATGAATTAAACAGAATACGTTTCAAGAGGTGCATGAATTCTAATAAATTTGAATGGATGGTTGCTGGACAATAGGTGATTGGGTTGGTTTCTCATTACACAGGAGTGATGGATAGCGTCTTTTGACCTGGGAGGGGGGAGGGGGAAGCATTCAGATAATTTCAACGTTACCATGGTGCGCTGCATTGACAGTAACTGTTCAATAAGGTACGCCGACGCTACAAGAAGCAGCTGGTTGTAACTGAGACCTTCCTTATCAAGTCGGATGGATTGTGCCCCTTTCCTAATTAATCCATGATTCGTTAGGAAAGGGGCACAATCCATCCGACATTGACACCATTGTAGGTCACGATGGGTAAAGAGAATTCATGGGGCAGCGATGACTCTGTTTCTTACTGGGAACAAGAAATAAGCAAAATAACTTGAAACGGGCAAAGATGGTGCATAGGACTTCCTGTCAGATGGGTCACGAATCTTTTTCTCAAACACTTCAGTTCGTGCAAGGCTTCCTCCTCTACATTCCCCCACCCTTACCCTCAGTCAGTAGCACCTTTCTAAACTGGATGCTGTCCATCATACAATAGAAGATAGCTCATGTCACTTGAAGCGTAGCGTATCGATGAAACTCATATCGAATCAACTATATTTTGCTATCGTGCTAGAACCATGAGAAACTGATATTGTTTCCAAGCGCGTCACATCGTTCCCATATCATTCCCCGATAAAAGACTTAATAGGGCCATATGGCCAACCACTCTCATTTTTTTCTGTAACCATGCTGTTAGAGTGACGCAGAACAGAGTGCTAAGACTTTCACGCACTCGGATCACTTAAGTTCTCTCGCTGGGCTCTGAAAGGATTCCGGCTATCGACAACATCGATATCTTCTTTGGGATCAAAAATCGCGTTTACCGTTCTCAACAAAAAGTTCTTGTGTACGAAATAAACCTCCTTGGAAGGAGCTTAAATTTCAGTGGTCAAATCCCACTGCCAATGGAGCTACAGCAAGCACAACTCTATGATGTTCCTTCGATCTTAAGCGTTCTGTTTCATCAGGCAACGGATGGAAACCCCATGGAGCTGCACGGCAAGGCAACATTTTTCTCGACGCCTTGCTTGACCAAAGCGGCCATCTCACCCGCAATTATCTGACTTCGAAAAAAAGTCAAAAAGAGTAATAAATAGCAGTAACATACTTGATGATGAGGCTTCTAATCTCCACTAAGAACCACAAAGCAAATAATATTCTAATTACTAGCTGACCGTATCCTGGCCACGAAGTGAATACATCGACATCATGTAAAACGTCATACACAAACACCTGAACGAAAGCCTTGAGATAAGAACGATCCTTGAGAAGAAACGTGAACAAGTAACCCACAAAGTTACAGACGAATAGAATGAAATGAATTCCAGCAAGTATGGCCCACGTGATGATACAAGAGCGCGACGGCGCTGATGCCCATGAATACAGTCCCCAACCTTGTGATAACAACAATAACAACAAGCAGAATAGATCAATGCTCGCTACCCTGTAATACTGAGGTAGTCATTCAAGTCTGAATCTCATTTCAGCTATCTATTCACAACTGCCTTTCAAAATCTCTCACAAGGGAGGTCTTTCAGGTCGTGGCGCGCTTTTTAAAAATGGTTTGTTGCTTGTTGTAGGGGTCCATACAAGGATTACAAAAATGGGTTTCATTTTTGCTATGCGTTTCTGGGGAGGTCAAAAACTGAGTGAAAACAATTTGACAAGAAAGGGCGATTTTAACCGTCTTATTGGGCTCTGTTGTAGCTGTAACTTTGAGAGTGCATAGTTTATGAGGTGTTCCTTCACTATGTATCGAAAAGAGAGCAAAATAAAGTCAAAAAGAAAGTGCATGGAGAAAAGTAGTACCGAAGTTACTTCAACGACTCCATGTTCCGTGGTCGGCGGATGGCGGAGTGGATAGTGCGGTCGGCTCTTACGGAGTTTGCGGATCGGATCCTCTTGGCGCCGGATTTTTTGCATTTTTCGGATACTTTAAGCGTTTTTCGGATTTCTGTCTCCTTGTGTTGATGTATATAACATGGATATATGCCATTTAAGACCTCATTCTATACACTCATAGTTCACGAGTCGACCCTACGTAACTATTGCGCTCTCGAAACATTACTGAGGAAACTCTTGCTGAAAGTTGGGCTCCGGGGATGACTGGATACCCTACTCACGAGTACGACACTCATTTTTGACCACGGCGCAGCCTATCGCCGATTTGCTGCAAGAGCATTCTTGCACTGAATTGTTGTCAACCCGCACGCATGGGCTGTTAAGCGCTCAGCTCGAGGAGAAAATTTTCGCTGAAAGTCTGTATATAGAGGTTATTGACGGCCCTGATCACGGTTCTGACCTTTATAACTGGCGTCTAGGTCAACTTGAGAAACTACAATGCTGCCTCACTATGTGCCAAATAAAGTACTTTTTTCACCTTGACTTGTATTGTTTTCGATGCAGTGTCGACGAAGGTCTCATTTGCTGTGCATACTCAACATTAGAGATAGAAAAAAGCCTAGAAAAATGGTTCAAATCGCTTTCCCCAGCAAACTTTTCACCCATTTTTGACCTCCCCAGAAGCGCATAGCAAAAACGAAACCCATTTTTGTGATCCTTATATGGACCCCTACAACATGCAACAAACCATTTCTGAAAAGCGCGCCACGACCTGAAAGACCTCCCTGTCAGCTGAGAAATCCGCTCACGCTAGTAAAGATATGATCAAACAAAGGAACATTGAAAAACGACGATGAAACAGATGTAGTTAACACGTTGCGGACCACGTGACATGCATGGTGCGTCATACTTTTTTCTCTTCAGCCGTTTCATACGGTCTATTTGGTCTTATTTTTTTTTATCCATACAGGTATCAGACCAAATTTTCAGGCTGAGAATACCATATCCACATATACATACAAATATCTCATTCGAAAAAGAAAGAAACAGATGAAGTTGCTGATTTTCGCTTCGAAGAGTAATGAAATTATGCGAGGATTCTAGTACAGCGGCGGTCCGGAATGTGTTAAGCTAACTACAGAAAATAATCACACACTTCATTTTCCTATAGAGTGGTTAAGGCACCGCATTACATGGCATGTACAAGGCATGGTCTAACCTACAACAGGTCTTTGAATAGGGACCCGTCTCTGTCAATAGTCAGTCTGGAGTGTCCCCAGTGTACTAAGAATTACTTTACACTAACAGGTAGCGAATACAAGGGGAATTACAGTCCTCATCATTGCGGACCGGTGGGGTGTGGCAGTGCGGCTGCGTTTGGTGCGGTTCGGCAAAATCGTTCTGCACCAGTTTTTGAAGCGGGCAAGTGCATTACTGTATTATATCCTTCGTATTACTCGTTTTCTACCACTTTTTGTCGCATACGCGTTGCAACAAAAAAGGCTGAGAACGGCTTCAACAATGTGCGCGCTCCTTCTGGCTGACACGCCCCACCGGTCTGCAATGATGAGGACTGTACGTGACTACGTAAGTGATTCCACTCGTGATTAGAATTATGCACGGTTTCGAGGTTGACGTTACCGTGTGTTTTGAAGCAGGAATGGAATTAACGATTTCACGGCGTTTCCACCGCTGGTAATTTTCTTCCTGACTTGATCACTGACCGATCACTATTGGTAGAACAAGGCAGCCAGAAGCGGGCTCATTGTTCGCTCTTCACAGCGCCACGAACCCATTACGATATTGTCGACTATATCTGAAAGGTCGTGGAGAACAGGGTACAGCATCGTTAGGAGAAACCCGTAGGGAGGGGTCGTACTGGGCTGTTGGGGAGGTGGGGCGGTCGTGAACGCAGGGTCGGTGAACACGAAATACCATAGAAGTCTCCGCTAAGTTTGATAGAGCGGACGGAAAGCTGCAGAGGACCCGCATGTAAGGAAGACTACAAAATATTAAAACATTGGACTAGCAATATTAATAGCTAGCATGAACTGCAAGTATGTAGCTAACCAAATATACATATAAAATAGATTCGTGCATACCAACTTTTCCAAACCCTAAACAAATATCTGCTTGCATGGACAAAAATCACCTAGAATGCGGTTTCAGTCACAGGGTTCAGTCGTTCAGACTAACATGGCCAAGCCGTTCCTTTAGACTGCCATGTAGCAAAAAATAACAATGTGATTTTAGGGTATAGGGTAATTTTAGGTTAATGTCAATTCAAATATTAGGTTTGAACGCTCACCTAATGAATTCTCCCAGTACTCTGGCAAGAAATAAGCCTTGCCCATCAAGAGCAAATACGAACACATTTAACGATTGTAAGGCGACTCCCAAACACTTTCATAGTTATTATATAATTCAACAACCTAAAATTTAGCAGCAATTAGAAGGAAGAAAACTAACATATAGCTATGTTAGAAACAGCTGAATGAGCAATAAGGTATTCGTCGACGTACAGCCCCCTCCCCCTTAAGAAAAACTACCTGAATGAGTGGTTTCGTCTGGGCCACAAACAAGAAAAAAAATGTTAAAAAATGAATACTAAAGATGAACAGAAAATGGTGAAGCCATACCTCAACCTAGCAGGAGGAACACTGCGCTTGGTCAGCTGCGTTCCACGTGACATTATCATCGAAAGTATGAGATACATGACCAAAGTAACCATGTAAAGCTCGAGAGTATCCTGAATGGAGCATGAATATTCCACAGATAGAGCGAGGTCAAGAAAGTAAGCCATGTTGCTTTTCTTATAAACCCTGAGCATTTGTACTTATGCAATCAATAATTTCTTCCTTATGCCGGACAAGTTTTTTTTTGCGGTGGAATTGCTTATTCTGCCTTGGAGGATGGGGGATTGAAATTGTTGACTGGTTGACTAAAACCGTCTACTGTTTGCACACACTGCACGAAATAACTAAAAATTACACCAACGAATAGCGTCCAACAACATCGCTGTTTTCAAAGGCCTGAAGGCATATCGAAACTCACGAAATTCTATCTATCCTGATCAACCGGGACCCGTTTTCATCACCCGTCAGTTTCGTAACCTGTGCCTGGAAGCATGCGAGCGTTCCGAAAGTAGAAATTGTCTTCTCCCTTGAATATTTTTCGTTCATTAGGTACCTGGCGCGCATCAACAGGCTGCGACACATCTTTCCTGTTATCCTGGTTTGCTTAGTGAATAATTTTTGATAGAAATCCGTGCAGTTATCTGTGGAGAAATCCGTCCTTACGACCACTCATCGGGGCAGTCCCGTACACGCCAATTCCATTATTCTTCAACTTCGGCGCTGTGTATGAACATGGCCTACGGTGACAACTTTTGACCGTAACTCTATATCAGCTTGTACCTGCTCATCGAAGGAAAACTGCCACGTTAATGGATTCGCTGCTGCGGAGCCCGGTCGTCCATTCGTCAACCAGATGTCATACTCAACCACTATGCCCCTGCTAGATTGTGTCCAATTGCACGAGCTATCGAGATTACAAGCGATCAGAACGACGTACCTGCAATGAACCGACTGAAGAGTAAAAGCGAAAGCACAGGAACGAAAGCGCCGCAAACAGTTTAATTGTAAAAGGGTAGTAGGAGAGCACAGATTTGGATAAAAAAAATGAATAGCGAAGTGAACTTTGACAAAGTGTGCAGCTAACCCGTAAATAATTTCTGAAAGCTCCTGCTTTGTAAATATAATTCAACAATATCGGTCCAAAAAACTGTTTAATTTCAAGGTGCTGTTACCCTAATCAACTGACCAGTACTCTGCAGTTGATGGTTCCTCGATCTGCATTGTGAGCTGACATTTAGGCACCACCACCCTTGGATCATCTTCCTCCTGGAAAAAGCAGTTTCTAAATGAACACAGCGGCTGACTTCATTATAAGACGACATACTCGACACAGCTGGCCTTTAGGGCATGGGATCCGTCGAAATATGTCACCACGATGACCACTGGAGAAACAACGCAAGTCGAAGCCCACTTTGCTGAGATTCTAAAATGTCATAGACTACCAAGTCGGCAGAATATAAAACACTATTCAACTATTATTAACCCAGTCTTCCAGAAACTAGGTCACTAGTCTTTTTCTTACGGGGACAGAGTGGATTGAAAACCTGTTCCAAAGATAGTGTGATCTGCTGAACACGCATATCACACCTGCTGGGCCTGAAACTGCCTGGTGACCGCGACACGTGCCCGGTGCCAGAAAGCCTCGATCACCGAAACAAATGAAAAGTTGTACACGGAGATTATTTGAAACCTCGATTACGATAAGGTCATCCATTTTTGGCACCGGCAGTACTATCATCTATGATCTGCTAAGGCAGAGCCTAGCCTGAAGCGAACCACTTCTCCCAGACTAAACAGTAAAGCGCTAAATGGCGTTAGTGTCGAAAATGAATGCCATGTGCGTAGGTGATTAGGGCATCAAACCACCCTATTATGCAAGTTTTGATTGATTTTGGGGAAAAAAGGTGCGGCGCTTAAGGACGCAGAATCGCGTCAAGGCTAAAAATGATTGTTACGTTCGTGATCAGGGCACCGAGTAACCACAGTGTGCAAGTTTATTCCGATTTTGGTGAGAAAAGTTGTGGCGCCAGGTTGGCGAAGCTTCAAAAAGGAAAGTCGTACTCGTGATCGCCGCACTGAACAACCCGTGTAGCCAAAGTTTCGGCACAATCTTTCCAGTTTCTGAGGTATTAATAGTCGAACAGTGTCAAAGATAGAAATTCATAATAAAAATCCATACCTGCATCATGGTACCGCAATACATCGAATAACGGGAATCACTATGAAATGAGCCAATCAACGTGTGTGGTACTAACGCAAATAAAAATTGTCCTAAAAGCAGTACTCGCCATAGAACATGTAAACAGCAATTATTTGTAATGAGGTTACGAATATGTATGCAGCAAAAGGCTGAAAAAGAAGCCCAAGGCAATCGCGGAATTCGAACTTGATTTTGCGCGAAGTGGGTACACTTGGGAACATATTTCGTTTAACACATTGACAACCGTAAGATACGCATTGAATGCACGCTTTGTAGGCCACGTGGGACCGCGTGCATTGAATACGAATCACGATCAACAAATCCATATCTTTCACTAGTGCATGATTTTTGTTTAGTTTCTCCTATTCATTCTATAGTTCAGTCCTTAGTATACTTGTACAATGCGTAGTCTATGGAATAATTCAGTACACACTAGTTTAGCAAAGACTTCTTGGGGAAAGAACACCATTTGCTTGGACTGGTTTGCTCCTCAACTCTGGATTGGTTTGCTCTTCAACACTTTACTAACAAATGCAGATAAATACCATATTGATAATGATTAAAAAATATAAGATGAAGGATTCTGAGTCCTGTAGAAGGCACGACTTGTGTTTTTTATGAAAACATTGGTTACAGACAAATTTCTGGCACCTAGTGCAACGAGAGTTGGCCAGCCTAGTTTTTTCCATGGTGAGTGTTTACAATTGCTCTCTTAACCAGGCAGGTTTACCGATCCAATTTCCAAAAAAGCTCCTCCTGGGACCGCGGGTATTGTACAGCGCTTGTGGCTTTCGAGAAAGCGCGTGTCCCATGAGGCCGAAAAAGTAAAAACCTGCGCGGTCGTCAACGTGTTAATGCGCGTTCACACTCCTTATCCCTGAGCGAATTCGGCGTGGCATGTGAGTGTAACATAGAACAGGTTACTCAAAAGATATTTCAGTTTGAGACAACTGTCATCTTGTTCAGTGTTGGACAGAGACATGACCACAACTGTGTCAAAATGAAAATATCTCACCAAAAGCACAGCCACCGCCACGTTTGGATGAAGTACGCGCCCACCAAATCTCAGGGATTCACAGTGTCTCCAGATTCCATGGAAAAGGAATGAATGCGTATCACTTCGGAAATCGACAGAGGCTGCGTT